TCAACAGTACATTTCTATTTTTAGTAGAACTGGAATTGATTGTCTGCTACCTGGCACCAAAAATCAAGTTTTCTCTTCCTTTCCAACATTGGCAACCCTTGTTTAGAGAACAGGAGGCAAGTGGAACAGATGGAAAAGGCACGGTCAAGATTAGGGAATATAAAAAACTCTTTTCTTCTTTTTTTTTAAGAGTTGGTAAGCGTCTTCACATAATGTGGAAACCTCAAACAGGGAATTTCAGCTACGTGACATCATGTGATAGAAGGCAGCATCTGCTCATTAATTCAATTTGACACATTTATTTAGAACAACTAGGTTCAAGCACAGGTGGGCCCTGTCAAAGACAGGAATATTAAATAAGGCACAATCCCTACCCTGAGTTTATAATCCAATAGAGGAAACACAACATACACAAATAACTTCAGTAAAAAACTGAACAGAAGATCCTAAGGTACAAACTAAACACTCTATAAGATATGAGAAAGAATAAATCATTTTTTACTTGGGGCAATCAGAGAAGGTTTCATGGAGGAAATGGTATTTACCCTGGAAAGATGGGGGATGCCAAATAACTGAGTGTAGCATTATAATTACAATGGTTCAATTATAAATTTTAAGTACCCCAAAAAGTAATTAAAAGATTAAGTGGAACTGACTAACCCAAGTAGAAAAGAAGGAAGGAAGCTAAACTCTGGAAATCTGAAGTCATAAATAAGGAGGAGCTCATGAGATAAGAGATTCATTCTATCACTTGATAGAGAAATTCAATGATTTAGGACCACCAAGAGGATGCAAATCAAAAGTTGGGGAAAGTGCCTGGAAGGTGGGCAGTTGAGTGAGTCAGTCAAAGCATCTGCCCCACTTAAAGTTCCTGCTCGACACCCCTTTAACAGACACCATGCTGCTAATACATTCAGCCACTCCGGGGGCTGTATTTTCCAAACCAGAAGTCAAGCATCCAGTTTGACCAAGGACATAAAGCCACATTAAAATTAAAACAAACCAGGATTTCCTAGAGGGATCAGCATTTCAGAGTTGGGAAATACATTAGGGCTTATCTAATCTGATGCTCTCATGCTGCCACGCCTCAGGAAAAGGAAGCTAATGGCACAAATGTTGAATTTGCTCCAGCCAATCAAGTTAGTCAACAAGCATTAAGGAAGCACCTCCTCTGTGCTGGGCACTCTGCTAAGTCCTGAGGACACAGCTGCTGCTCCCACAGAGCTCCTGGTCTAACATGGGAGACAACAAACAAAACACAGACAGGATAACCAGGAGATGACCCACAGAGGGAGGCCTGCAGCTCTGCAGGCGCTCTGCCAGCGGCATAGGCCTCGGCCCACTTGTGCAACGTCCAGCCAGCCCGGCCCCCTGCCACCGTGGCCAGAGAACTCCTTGTCTGGCCCTGTCCTCAAGCCTGTTTGTTTCTGAATCACCCCACCAGAAGGGTGTGCATGAAGTCTGAAGCCGGCTTCCTACAGTACCATCTAGGACTCAGCAACGTCTCAATTCTTGTCAAAATCTTTGGTCTCAATTCTTCAATTCGATGGTAAATCTGATCCCTCATTGGTCACACTAATCTTGCCATTAACTCCCTGTCTGACCTCGGCATCTAATCCACTTCCTATCTTCAGGATTTAGTCAACTCATTAAGTCAAAGGAGATCTCACAACAGACACCCTAGAAGGAACTCCTCCAATGCCAAGGGCTTCATTACCATCTCCAAGCATGTGTGGCACAAATATTTCATACTTGGGCATGCCCCCAAAAGAATTCATTATCTTTCCCATAAAATCCACTCTCACTCCAAGGGTGCCACCACCCTTCCAGTCACCTGGGTCCAAATCATCCTCACCTGAGGAAGAGGAGAGAAGAGAGAGTTTATGGCGAATGACCTCAATTTTTCTCTGTCAAACATCAGGAAAGGTTCTCAACTGACAGAGGAGGAGGAGGAAGAGAAATGGGAAGTTTGAGGAGGGATGAAAAAGTCTGGAAGAGCCTTGATGGAGAACAGGAGAGCGAATTGATCCAAGAGGCATAGCAGCACTGCCTAGTGGCAATGAGGGCCCAACTGGGGTTCTGTAGCAGACCCAGTCAGAACAGCTGAGTGATTTTCTCCACCTCATTCAGCAGCCCAAGCATAGGAGAAAAGGTGACAAATAGTGGGGATGATCCAAGGCTGAGCTTTGGCTGGGTGTAATTGTTGATATGATAAGGGGGCCAAGGATTAAAGACAAAAGGACAGTGTAGAGTTGAATTGGTTCACTAAGGAGTCAAGACAGGGGAGAAGAGAAGAGGGTGGCTAGTGAAGGGGAGACAGCCTGGGAGAAAAGTGAGAGGTCAAAAGACTAGAGGTCATGGTGTGGACAGAGGGTAGGGTTATGTAAAGGAAGGCAGAGGGAGAGGTGAAAAGCCAATAGATTATGGTCAGATAATGAAATTTCAGGATTCTTGACCATGAAGGCAGTATATTTGTGGGTGATGGAAAGATCAACATATGACCATCTTTATGTATGGCTAAGGTGGGGTGGAAGAGTAGTTCAAGGGAAGTGAGTAGGTTGAAGAACTGAGTGGTTTTTGAGTATTGAGGGAGAATCAATACATATGCTGAAGTCCCCTAGTAGGAGGGCAGGAGTTGGGGAGGAGAGAAAAATTACAAGTCATGTATCAAACCCATTGAGGAAGGAAGGGAAGTCTGTAGACAACAGCTGCCAGAATTCTGTTAGGGTAGAAGATGTGAACAGCATGACCCTCAAAGGAAGAAAGGTTACTACTGAGCAGTAGAAGAAGGGAAAGAATCTGAAAGTGGCAATGGGGAGCAAGGAATATTCCAATTCCCCCACTTTAACCAGTGAGCCCACCAGAATGAGTGATGATGCAGCCAAGTACTAGAAAGCGCGCCCAGGCACGCTGGGTCATCAGAGGGGAGCCAAGCTGCAGTAAGAGCTACAAATGGAAGGAGTGGAAGAGGAAAAAAATTAGGAAGAAGGGAAGTTTATTGCCTATGGAACAGGCATTCCAGAAGGCACAGTCGGGAGGGGGGGTGGTAGAGTTAGGATTAACCTTTGGTGTAGGAGGGTTGAAGGGGATGGGAATGAGGAATCAGGTGGTAGGGGGTGTGAAATGGGTTTTGGAAGATGATCTACAGGAATTCAGAGTTCTTGGGATGGAAAGGGTATGAGCAGGTTTGAGAATGTTCACGGTTGAGTGGAGAACACACCATCTCTGTACCCTCAAAGGACAAAGGCAGCAGGAGAAGGGAGGCCTGAAGTGGAAGGGAGGGCTGTTCTTCTTTGTACTGGTGATTCTCCACATCCCATTAGGAAAATTTTTGAACAAAAACATTTTAACAATTTTTTGCTGCTTGGTGTCCTTGCCACAACTCTCTCCCCACTCCAGTCCATCATTCTTCAGCTGTCCAAGTGATCTTGGACACAAGCACAGGTCTGATTCTGCCACTCCCCACCTAATACACTCCAGGGGCTCCCTGGATCAAATTAAGAAATGGGTGTTCAAAGCCCCCTTCCTACCTTTCCAGCCTCCTTATACTTCACTTACTTTCACATACTCTGCCATTCAGTGACACTGGCCTCCTGCCTATTCCTGGAATAAGACATCACCTCCTCAGATTCCAGTCCAGGCATTTTCACTAGGGGTCTACCACGCCTGGAATGCTCTCCTTCCTCACTCGACGCCCTCCCCTTTCCGGCTTCCTTGGCTTCATTCAAACCCCAGGTAAAACCTCATCTACTGCAGGAAGCCTCCCAATCCCCCTTCATGACAGGGTTTTCCTTCTCTTGACTATTTCCAATTTATCCTGTATATATTTTGTTTTTACATATTTGGTTGCATATTGTCTCTTCCATTAGACTGTGAGCTCCTCAAGAGCAGGGATTTGCCTTTCCTTGTATCCTGAGACCTTGGTATAGTGCCTGGTACATAGTAGCTGATTACTAAATGGTTACTGACTGACTGACTGACTGACCTCTATCACACTGTCTTTACCTGCTAAACAATTTGTTACCAAAAATCCAGCTTAAAAAAAAAGTTCCTACTGTGTGTCCAATTTATAGTCACACTTACCTTTGGTCAGAGTTCTGTAGTATTTAAAGGGACATACGCAGATGAATCAAATGCTAACAGTGAGATTCTTGCTAAAAAAAACAATGTACTGTAGTTTCATCTAAAGGAAATGTCTTCAACAGAATGTGGACTTTTAGAGCTAACTCTAAATAGTTTTGTTACCATTCTAGCAAAGACAATATCATTTACCTAATATTTCCTCTACACATTCCAAGTATTCTAACAACAAAGACAATTTTAAAATGTTGGTGATAATAAGCCAGGCATTTAAAGAGTCTTTTTTTTTGGGGGGAGTCATTATTAGTTTAATTAGTTTTTAACAAATTTAGAAAGAATACTGCTACTCCAGATCTCTGCTGATAAAATATGTTTATTTTCTGTTTTAACATACAATGTCATATTCCTAATGTTTATACCCACATACTGTAACTATCCTTTGGGCACAAGAAATATCTGCAGCTGAACATATGACAGTGTGGAAAGGAAACTCTATTCTATTCTAATGAAGGTCACAAAATATTTCCTCTGTTTGTTTCTTCCTGAGATGCTTAATGGCATTAAATATAACTAACAAATGCCAACTTCAGTTGTCATTGAAAATAAAGATAATCTCTTTGATGTCAAAGATTCATGTAAATCAAAACCCCTTCTTCCTCTTCCTCAGTATAAGCAGGGCCAAGCCTGCCCACAGGACCCAACTCTCTCCCTCTTTGTTGACTTACACAAACAAATTGGAATTTAGGAAAGCATTTATGTGCCCACTAGATCTTTCATGATTCCTTGTAACCAGGTAAATATTTCTAAAGATATCTGAATAGGTTTGTGCTTGTAATTTAAAAAAATAAACAAACAGAGAAGGTTCACTTTGAAAGACCTCTTGAAACAGAAAGCTTTTTAGGAAAAGGATTGCTTCTTACCTCTTCATAAAACTTCACCTGAGGGACAGCTTCATCAATTTCATTTAAACAAAAATCTTTAAAAAGCAAAAAACCTAAAAGCAAACAAAAACATTTTTCAGATTGTGTCCGAAAATACGATGATTTCTGCAGAAGAACATAATAACAGAATAACTCAATGCTGAAATGGCCCCAGTTGGGAAGGGATCAATCTGTTCCCCAGCTCTGCTGGACTCTCTGGACAGGTTTCCTTGCTTTTGCAAATGGGAAGCCAAGGCAGCTGAAGCCAAGGCCAAAGGCAACAGAGTAACAAATAGAATAAGGGCTGCTGTCCTTCCCAGAGAGCAAAGACCACTAAGGCAGGGGCAACCTCAGCACTCCCAAATATCAGGAAGATGACCAAGGGGGCCCTGAGAAATGGGCAGATGACCTAGACCTTGGAGGAAGAGGGGATGGCACAAGCAGCCCAGGGAGAGCAGGACAAGGCTGTGACCTCTGAATCGGTGGCCCCACCACAGTGTCTCAGCCAGCCACGCTGGCCTTTGCCCAGGCTTCACGTAAGTCATGCTCCAAGGCCTCATTCCTCGTATGTGCTTTTCCCTTAATTTGTAGGAGAATTTCCTTTTGAAAACTAAGCATGGCTAGGCTCAGGCAAGGACAGGCCATGTGTACACAGACCAGCTCAGGATGATGGGGGTGGGCATGGGGGGAGGGGCAACAGCAGCCAGATCAGACCGGCCCAGGAGCCCAGGACAGAGTGCGGCAGAGAGGAGCAAATCCACTGAGGCAAAGACTCAAGACCAACAGTGGATACTGATTCCCTTCCCAGTTTTTATTTTTGGCTGCATATCATTTTAATCATTACATCAACACTTTCAGCTTATGGTGTGGGACAATACAGTGGAAAACCTCTTGGCTGGAGTCAGAGACTCTGGGTTCAAATTCTGATTCTGCCACTTGGGCGAGGCATTTCCCTCTCTGGGCCTCAGTTTCTGCAAGTTTAAACGAGAGGGCTGGGCTAGCTAACCAGTTCTAGATTTCAGATCCTCTAACTGTCTAATGTAACACTGAAACATGAGTCCCAGTGAAACAGGCAGGGCACTCAGGCACCAGACCAAGGCCTGGGAGGCTCAAATTGTCAGTGACTTTTTCTGTACTTTAGCAAATGTAGTTGCCAGAAGTTTTACCTGTGGTAAGAGGTGATAAGAAGAACACAAATTAAAAAAATAAGACTAAAAGCAGTCCAAAGCACATTATGCACACCAGGTTAGATGTCCTGACGTAAAATTTATCAATGTTCTTAAGAAAATGAATAGTCATTTACCCTCAAATCCCAGTGCCTGACACTGAAGCAGAGGTGCCAATGAGGATATCAGAAGAGGAAAAGGAACTGCAGAGGTTCAAGGACCCTTTATGTGCCAGGAGAAAAAGCAGAGAATAGTGGAAAGAGACCTGACCTGGAGGCAAGGAGACCTGAGTTCAAATCCCACCTCAGATACTTCCTAGTTGTTTGACTCTGGTCAAGTCACTTCACCTCTGTCTGCCTCAGTTCCCTCATTTTAAAAAGAAGGGGTTAGACGCATTGCATCTGAAGTCCTTTCCAGATCTAAATCTATGACCCTATGATGTTCCCTTGGAAAGATGTTGATAACAACCTCTCATAGGTGACTCGTATCCACTCACAAATTCTTCACAGAGGATCTGCCCTCCCCCAAAAGCCAGGAGCCTTCCTGCATTTGTCCCGACAGCTCCAGGACACCGGTGAAGTACTTGCACGACCCCTGTCATCCCTCCCCCTCCCACAGAACAAGCCCAGCTTCTTTTTCTATCAAACATCTCCATGTCATTTCTTCTTGAAGGTTTCATATCAGGTTCCATGTTGCAACTTGCTCACACTCACCAGGAGGCTCTCCTTCGGATTTGTGTGATACTCACCTTCCAGTCTTTGGAGACTCTTATCTTGCTGCTATGGGCAACACTAGCCAAGCCCAGAATCTGCTCCCTTTTCATCACCACTTACTTCTGGGAGTCCCTGAATTCCTTCAAGATACAGCTCAGAGGAGACACCCTGCCCCACAGTGACTGCAGAAGTGGGAGTCCATGGGTGTGAAATACTATATAGAAAGTGAGACTTCTTTCATATGTTAGTTTGTTTCGTAGAACTTTTTTTTGTTATTTCTCTTTTTTTATTCTTTATTAGAAGAAACGGTTCTCTGGGAACACATAGGGAAGGGATACAATAAGAACATAGGTCTCATTTCTAAGATATATAAAAGAACTGATTCAAATTTATAAGAACAAGAGCCATTCCCCATTTAATAAAAAAGTCTAAGGATATGAACAGGCACTTCTAAAGGTAAGAAACCCCGACTATCTATAACCATATTCTTTTTATAATGTTCCAAATTGCTAATAATTAAAGAAATACAAATTAAAGCAATTCTGAGATTCCACTGCATACCTATCAGATTGGCAAAAATGACAAATGTTAGACAGACTACAGGAAAACAAGCACATTGATGCACTGTTGGTGGGGCTGTAAAAGGTAGAGCCCTTGTGGAAAGCAATTTGGAAGGATACACAAAAAGTTACTGAACAGTACATGCCCATTGAGGCTAGTGCTAGACCTACAGCCAAAAAGAGATCACAGATAAAGGAAAAGGTAGTATATGTAAAAAATATTTATAGTCAGTTATTCAATAAGCATTCAGTAAATACCTACTACATACTAGGCACTGTGCTAAACTCTGGGGATACAAAGAAAGGTAAAGGACGGTTTCTGCCCTCAAGGAACTTATAATCTAATGGGAAAGACGACACGTAAACAATTACGTGTGAACAAGCGAGATACAAGATAACCAGGAAATCATCAACAGAGAGAAGTTGCTAGAATTAAAGGAGATGAGGTTAGAATTAAAAGAATTTTGTTCCAGGAACAGCAAATAAGCCAATGTCACCGGCCAGAAGAGTACTGGTGAGTGGCAGGGGTGGTAAGAAGATCGGAAAGGCAGGGAGCCTTAGGTGACGACGGGCTTTGAAGGCCAAGCAGCAGGTTTTATATTTGATCGTGGATGTGACTGGGAGCCACTGGAGTTTACTGAGGAGGGGTGGAGCGGGGCGACATGACTGGACCCAAACTTCAGGTAAATCACTTTGGTGGCTGGAGGATGGATTAGAGGGAGGAGACACTGATGGCAGACAGACCCACAGCAGAGCAGGGTAACAGTTCAGGCATGAGGAGATGAGAGCATGCAACGAGAGGGTGGCAATAACAGAGGAGAGGAAGAGGAGGGGAGATGCTGCAAATGTAAAACTGACAGGCCTTGGCAACAGACTGAATATGGGCAGTAAGAGAGCATGAAGAGTCAAGTGTGACACCTAGGTTGCAAGCCTGAGGGACTGGGAGGATCATGGCGCCCTTAAGAGGAAAAGGGGAAGTTTGGAAGGGGAGAAACAGGGAAAAAAGATGGTGAGTTCAGTTTTGGACAAGATGAACTTAAAATGTCTACAAGATATCCAGTTTGAGATGTCTAAAAGGCAGTTGGAGATGATGACGACGATGACGAGGACGATGATGATGATGATGATGGTGATGGTGGTGGTGGTGATGGTGATGATGATGATGATGATGATGACGATGATGATGATGATGATGATGGTGATGACAGGAAAAATGGAACGAGATTAAACACTGACACAGCACCTCTTACACGTCAGCCACTATGCTGAGCACTTTTTACAAATATTATTTCACTTGATTCTTACAACAACCCTGTGAGGCAGGTGTTGGTATTATTTCCATTTTATAGCTGAAGAAAATGAGGCAAATGGAGATTAAGTAGCTTGTCCAGGGTCACATAATAAATGATTGGGGCTAGATTTGACTCAAGGCCCAGATGTGAGACTGCCTGGTACAGTAAGGGTTGAATAAACAGACTTGAGAATCATCAGCAAAGCGACGGCAGCTGAATCTATGGGAGCTGAGGGGATCACCAAATGGAACATTACACACAGAGAAAGGAAGAAGGCCCAGAGCGCAGGCAGCCCTGTGGGACATCATGCTTCGGGGCGTGTCATCGCTGAAGATCCAGCAAAGAAAACGGAGGAGTGGTCTCTGAGAAGTAGGAAAGCCAGTAATGAACAGAGCATCAAGTAAAAGAAGGCGACTGACAGTGCCAAAGGCTGCAGAGCGGTCTGGAAGGTCTAAATGGATGAAGACGGAGAGAAGGCCACTGGGTCTGGCAACTCAGAGATGACTGGTAGCTTTGGAGAGAGCAGTTTCAGTGGAAGGATGAGGTCAGACGTCAGACTGTACAGAGTTAAGGAGAGAGTGAGAGAAGAGAAAGTGGTAGCTTCCACTGTTGACGAGACGATAGTAGGGATGGATGGATCTATTGAGAAACGGGGGAGACAAAGGCTTGTCTGCATAGAACAGGGAAGCAGTCGGTGAACAAAGTGTGGAGGACACAAAAATAGGCAAAAGACAGTCCCTGCCCTCAAGCAGCTTACAATCTACTCATTAGTTACGATAATGCTACCTATAAAATGTACATCACAGTTTTAATAGATTAATTATCAGAAAAGCCCTAACAGATGTCAGGGCTACCGATTTCACTTAAAACACACACTGCTTTTAAAATCATTATGCTTTTCTGAGGAAAAAGGCTAGGGTACTACTTAAAGCAAACCTTAAAGGTGGAGTTCTCAATTTCTGAATAAATACAGCATAATGGAAATGCTAATACAATTTAACTGAAGCAAATGTTACCAGGCACCATTGTAATTAAGCCTAATTCTAAAACAAAAGGAGAAAAAAAGGAGCTTTATGTAACAAATTAAAGTAATCTCTTCCAACAGCCTTAAAAAAAATTATTTCCTAACAACTCATATAAAAAAACAAATGAACTCTCACTTGATACATTTCAATGCAGAAAGCCTTTGGATTAAACTGAACACCTAGCAGTCACACAATTCACCTAGTGTTATCTGAATTTATCTCCCTTCCATCACTAACAATCACATACAAAAAAATTCCCCCTTTAATTTCCTGTCACACAATAACATTATTATAGGTATAATGACATGCCTCTATTCC